GTTGTGAATATGGAACTATTATGACTACAAATACCCCTAGTTCCATACTGCTAACCCTAAACAACGAGGGTATTTTAGCTATTTAGCAATTTCATAGTAATATAATGAAACCACACCTTCAAAAACTATATTAGGAAATTTGTTTTTTACACATATCTTTAGACCAGTGGTTTAAAATATGGATCGGTGCCTCGGATCAGGCACCACAAAAACCCATCCGGACCAGTGAATCGGCGTTTCGGATAAGGAATCGGGCAGAATCGACGATTTTTGTCTCAAAAAATCTTTAAAAAATCACTATAAATCTCTAAAAATAATATTATTTTCATTTGTAAATGAATTTAGGAGTGGTGCATTTTGCATTTTCATTACTTTGTAAAAATAGGTGATTATTGAGACGCTGTTTTTCTATCTGGATGTTTGTATAATTAAAATAAATAAATTAATAAATAAAATATAAAACTTAATTACCATTGTAATTAGTATAATTATTAATTACAATATTATAATAAACGTGATTCAAAAAACAATGGTATGACCCTTACAAATAAATAAATCTAATATATAACAATTAGTTTGGATAGAAATATAGAATTTAGAAATATAAATTTACAATAATATTTTAATAAAATTAAAAAGTAAATAAATAAATTCATACTTGCAATGTCAGGTAACTAGTTACAAACAGTTTCATATTAGAAGATTAAAAAAATTAATTTCGCATATAAATTAGTATCACATCAAAGTATCAAACATTTATTAATTTGTTTTACTTATCCAAAATTATTACAACTTAACTAACTATAATAATATATATGGACATTGAGGTTGTTAGTTTATAACTTTAAATTTTATAATTATTTTACTATACAAATAAAAATATAAAATGTCTTATATATCACCTAATTAAAAAGATCTTAATTACAAAAAATAATATATTATAAAATTTATAATATAAATAAATTAATAAATAATATACATTTTTTGGTTATTAATAAATTAAAAAAATTATATTTGCAATGTGGGATAATTGATAAAGTTACTTGAAATAAATTCTAAAGTGGTAAGAATTAGTGTTATTTTTCTATCTTAAAATATCCTCTAAATTATTATTTTTTTAATATCCAATAGATTAGAATTGGTATTATTATTATTATTATTATCCTATGAGCTAGTACTAATTTTTTAATCCTAATTAACTAATTAATCAATTATTACTCATATAATGAAATAATACCATGATATAATAGCTTAATAGAGTTTTTATATTTTTTGGTAAGTAAATTTAATTTTTTTGGTGAAAGATAGTGGTGATGGGCACCTAATTATTATTTTTAATAATTTTTTTATTTTTTTATCATCAAATTTCATTGCCACAATCGGACATACAACTTTCTTATTCATGACGAGGATACACTATCGTGCATACACCATCGCGCATACACCATCTCACTGCAATTTATCCCAAGCTAATAATATTTGCCAGCGTCACATATATATCTCACATCGAAGCGATGTGAGAAGAATGAATACTATAAAAAAACCCAATGATCCGATTACGTTGAATGTTTTTAGGCCATGTGAAGCGTGCGTATTGCACGTGGAAGCTTTTTTAAGGTGGCAATCACGTGTGGGAAGTAAGGGGAGTAAGGGCTGCCAGCTGGCATGAAAATTTGTCATTCACGTTTCAAAAAAACCAAGGTTGGGTGCATAAAAAGAAAGCCCGATTGAAAATTAAAAAAAAGTAGGAACCGCGCCCGGTTTGAAAATAAAAAACGAACCGCGCTTGGTTTTACCGATACTGCATTGGAGGGAGCGGTATCAACGATACTCGATCCAGATCGTTCGAACGGGCCCGGTTTTACTGATACTGCATTGGAGGGAGCGGTACACCGATACTTGATCCAGATCGTTCGATTCAGGATTGGATCGGCAATTTTTGTTAGGATGATTAGATCTAGGCCTTGGGGACTCTTTTTTACCTCTACATTCGCGTCATCTCCCTTCCCCAAGGCATAAAACATCCAGCTTAAAGATGGATGCATGTGTGCGGTCCTTCTAAAAAAAAAAAAGTTAAACCAATTATTTACATATTTCTCTTATAAAATTGGGAAAAGTTTATAGAAGGTCACAACCTTAAAATGTAGAATTACATATACACCTCAAAAATCTATTGGAAAGGTTGTTTTCTCTATTTGATCATCTCGACATCGAGATGTATATATATATATATATATATATATATATATATATATTAGTTTAGTGTCTNAGAATAGTCGTCCTTCGACAACATATTATACGTACGTACCTA